GGGGGGGGGGGGGGGGAGGAAAGGGAGCAACTCGAACACTGGGCGGAGTCCTTCGGGCACTGAGCCTGGCGGGGAGCGTACCACTCTCCGGTAAACACCCCCCCACCCCCCTCGCCGTGAGATGGTATCGCCTAGAGCGGAGGCAGGGAGTGGGTCTGGCCCGGGCGGTTCCAGGCCCTCTGGAGGTAGGGGAAGAGCTGAGGGGCCGGCCCGGGAGCTCTCCCGGCGGCAGCGTAATCACGGAAGGCACGTCGGTTTTTTTTTCCTTTAGCACCGAGAGCGGGGCTCCCCGGTTCCTCCCGCGGCCGCCCCGGAGGCAGCGCGGGGAGCTGCCATCCCCTCAGGGGGAGCGGCGGTCCCTGGGCCGAGAGCGGGCTCGCGCCGGGAGTTACTTATCCCGCCTTTTACCTCAGGCGGAGCCCCCGGCCCTGGGTTCGTAGCCGGAGCCGCAGCTGTGGGAGCCAGGCGGCCTGGGGCGGCGGGGTTAATTGCTCCAACACGTTGTGGTGAAATGTGTGTGGAAAGGGAACCCCCATCTCCCGAAGGGTGCGGGTCCCGCCGCCCAGAGCGCTCCCCTGAGGGGCCGGAGTGCCAGCTCCCCTCTGTCGCGCTCTCCGTCCCTTCAGCTGACTTCTGAATTCGGCCCGGATCACAGATTTACTAATCTTAATAGGCTGTGGTAGATGAGGTGATGAATCCAAGGAGTAAGGCGTTGATTGCCTTGCTTCTGAGCAGGTGCAGCCGGACAAACTTCCCTATCCTCCCCCTCGCTGCCACCTGCCGTGGCAGCTGCTGTTTCTGGCCTCCAGCAACTTTCTAAACACTTTCTCTTTGCTAATAGGAAGTGGGTTGAACTTATTTTGAGAGAAAAAATGTGTTAAACTGCTCTTTCTCTTTCGAAAAAACAGACTTACACAGTCTGGTTTCATTGCCTGAACGTTGCTGTCTCCCCCTTTTTATCTTTTGCCATGTCACGTTCATCTTCCTGTGCAAAAAGCGCTGAAAAAAAGAAACCAGGAGCCCTACAGCAAGTTTAAACACAGTTCTCCAATTTGATTTTTAATATTTAAAGTTCCTGTGTATTATTAAGCATCCCAAACAGACAGCAAGTTCCGTGTGACACAAATGTTATCGTAGCTCCATACTGAATAGCGCAGATGAAAAAACCCAGAAGTTTCTCCCTCTCTCTGTTAGACTAAAACAAGCCATATAACCCCATTTTGCCATGTAACCCTAACCCATTTACAAACAAGTAGTTTCTGCTGTGTGAGTCTCTCATATGGACATGCTGAGGTGAACTGACAAAGCGCCTGGCAAATAACCCATACCACCTTAGTTAGATGTGGTTACGTTAGGAGCTGGCACTCATTATGTAGATACTATTCTAATTACACTGGCATGTGTTTTGTAACATAGACCTTGGTGAAATCAATATGGGTAATTTATTTGGGAAACATAGCAAGTTTAAGCATGATTAGGAAGGACAATGAAGAATCAGAGAAAGAAAGGAAGGAAAATAGACAACTGTATAGAAGAAAACATGGTCTTAAATCAGCTATTGACTCCTAATAGAAAAACTATCTTGGGAAAATGACAGTAAAAGTAGCTGTCATGGTTTAGGCTGAATTGGCCAAAACCAGAATGACTGATGACCTTTCCCTCCCCCTGAAGAGAGGAGAGGAAGAGATTAGGAGATGTATAAATTTACAATGAACTAAACTACTGAAGTATTAATATTAAAGTTAAAAAAAATGAAATAATGAGATAGATACAATATATACAAAACCATATCAAGCTCTCAGGCTGACGTCACCGGCAGGCACTGGGGAAGTCCCAGACTGGCCACAGTGACAGATGGGAACTGAATCAGGAATGTATCGATGGGGATCAAAGGCAGATGAACAGGCAGAGTCCTCTTTGGACGTCAGCCATTGAAGAAAGAGAGCTGATCCTTTGATCCCTCAGCTTTTATTCTGAGCATGGGGCAGATGGGATGGAATACCCTGTTGGTCAGGTTTGGTCACCTGTCTTGTCCGCTCCTCCCCACACTTTTTCCGTTTCCAACCCTGCAACGGGGCAAATAACAAAATTAGCTGACCTTGGTTGTTATAGCAATAAGTACAAGCAAGGCCCTCTCTGCATGCCCTTCCTTGGCATGAAGTACAAACATTGGTCTTATCACTCTGAGAACGAGCAGTTTTCTTCATAATATGCTGTTAATTTCAGAGAGTTAGAAGAGGCCTAGATAAGATGTATAATTACTGAACAGAAAGTTGGTTCTGTTTTACCTCAAACTGGGACAGTGCATAATGGAGCCTCTTCCTTTATAATATTTCACTTTTACTTCATCAGTTACAGTCTATTTCATTTTTTTAAGCTGAATTTTCACCACAAACCTTTCAGGACCAAACAGTGTCAGGCTTCTTTTGTGTGTGTGTGTGCAGCCACAGGTTTTGCAAGCTAGATCAGATCTTAAGGTACAATTACATAATCTCACAGGCTTCATATAATGCTGCCAGTCACATGTAGATTTTAGGGTCACCAGCAACAATACAGGCATAACCAGTTAGAACTCACTATGGAATTATGCTGGGTATCAAGGTGAACCTGAGTCACTAACAGCAGAGAGGAATAAGAGGTAATGGAGGAAATGTAACATTTCTTCATTCCAAAATGTTTCAGTTAGTTTTTCGTTCTTCTGCCTTAAAAAAATAACCCACAAAAGACCCATAAATTCTGTAGGCGTTCAGATTATTCTATTCTGTGATGCATGTGATAAAGAGATGCTGTAACAACAAGACTTGCCAGTTGAGGGGAACTCACAGCTTAGGCTTTGGTGACAAAGGGTCTTGTTTCATTGCTGTGTCAGATTGCCACACGTTATGGGAGAATTTATAATCTTCTGCAGCACTGATTTCTGCCTACTCTATTTTGCCTTCTCTTGTGAGCAGAGTCAGAAAGGGAGATAATCTTGGGTAGTTCATTGTACCAGCTGATGAAAATAAGCGGTTGAATGCCCTGGCAGTTAAATATCCTCTTCTCTAGAAATGAGATTTAGGCAAGAGGAAATGTTTTGAACTTGATCAAACAGGGGAAGTAAGCATCTAAAAGATGATATTGCAATAGTTAAGGTTTAAGGGGAATCTTGAATCCTATCTTATGCTCTTTAAGCTTGGGTAACACTGAAAAGCCTGATCTGTCACTTTTGAGTGGGGAATCTTTTATAGTCAGTAGGAAGTAGTAGAGCACTGGTCTGCTGTAGATCTAGCAGATCTGTTCAGAGGTACAGAGATGGTAGCTTTGCTCACTTTTGATTCTAGCGTCTTGTTTTCAAGACAGGGTTTAAAACAATTTTTAAAACCAGGGAATTGCTGAAGCGTTCATCTGGATGTTTGAAACTGAAATGAAATTCCTTCCTTTGCTTGGGAGATGCAAATCACATCTCCTGCATCATGCTGAAGTGTTTTAATAATAGGAGCTCTTTTAGAGAGTCCTTGGGTGAGAGTTGTTGGATATTAATCAACAGCAATCTCTTATCATTCAAAAGTGGTTAATTATTATTGTGTCCAGCAGCCTATTTAGACATTTGTATCAAGTATGTATGTTCATGTACAGAATGAAATTAAATGCAAATGTTGGTTAAAAAGATTCTTCATTACTGAAACATACAGACTGAGTCACCAAAGAGTGAGAACTTTACCCCTTGTTGGGGCAAGCAGCCAGGTACAGAACATGAAACTTGAGCCAAAAACCAAATGTGAGCATTTACATAAGTAAACCACTATATATTTCAGTGTACAAAAATGGCACAACTGTCTCCCAAATTAAATCACTTTAACTCTGAAACTAATCTAATTGATCCAGCTGAGGATTTTGAAGGAGAGCTTTGCTCTAAGAGCTCTCGTGGTCTGCTGAGAAGCATTTTCTTTCTCATAGATGCAACTTCAGGTGTAATACAGACAGAAAACAGAGTCCTAGTGGAAACAGTTGGTAAAAGGCCATAGCAAATCAGCTGGAGGAAAATTAACTTTTCTACTTTTACCTTAGGATACATAGATTTTTATTGTGGTTGCCTGTTTACCGGTACTGTCTGTTTTGGGAGTTGTGTGTAAATAACTTTATTTGCCTTTTACCTTGACCT